CTGTAAAGAGCTCACTTTAATATTGTCTACCCTGGTCTGAATGGATTATTCTGGGTGTCGCGAACCTTGCAACTACTCTTTCTACTATCAATTCTGCTACGTTTTAGCCTCCATGTTTGGCATTGGGAACGCCTCTGTTCATTTTGTGAAATTGTCAGAGATTACTAAAATGTATCTGTTCCTATCCTCTGTTATGGGCAACTCGTCAAGGATGTCAGTTGCTATGCGGTCCACGGGCATGTCGGAGGGTACTATATCCATGGGTGACACCTTCTTCTTAATAGGAATTTTAAGCATAGTACAAGTATCACAGCCTGTAACACATTGCCTTACATCCTGTTGTAGGCCTGGTCAATAATATCTTTGTCGAACTCGAGCCAACTTTTGTGAACTCCTAGATGTCCAGACGTTCTTTCGTCAGAATATTGCGTCTCTCAAATAGAGGGGTCGCCTGTTGAAGCATATCTTCATTTGTTTCTAACACCGTCCAGCGCCTACAAAGTATACCATTCATAAGAGTTATTCTGTGCCACTGACTCCAAAGATATCTCAGAAAGTAACCTTTACTTCTTATGTCGTCAAACATTGGCCTCCTGTTGTTCTTCAGCCATGACTTGACAACAGAGAAATCTTTGTCCTGTTCTTGCATTTCCAACAACGTCATAATGCTAGTGTCTTTCTCCTCAAACAGAGATCGAAGTTGAGCTCCGGCTCTGAGTTTCGCCACCTTGCTGGTGCAAGAATCATTCCTTCCCACACTGTTTGCATGGTATTCTACTGAGTGCATCAGCGATCCTACGTGATTTTCCTGATCTATGTTAGACTTCAATCTCATTTGTAGATAGCGTTTCTATCCACCTTACTAGCTGACCTTCTGCATCTTTATTGTTCAGCAGCCATCTTATGAGCTATGATTTGTTCGGACAAGAAAAGGCTTTCCGTACAGATAATGTCTGTAGTATTTAACAAAGTACACTATGGCAAGTAACTCTTTACGTGTCACACAATATTTACATTCGGCCTTAGTTAAGCATCGACAAGCATTACTTATAACCACAGGCCTTTGGATCGCTTGAATCCGACTTTAAAAAATTGGGGTGTATAAAAAAGATAAAGGTATGGAAATCCTTACATTGGGTACCCACTTCCGCTAATAAAATACTTTTAAATCGAATGCTCTAAAGTGTTACTTTCTATTCAGATCTATTCATGTATAATATAATCAATCTACATTACTAAAATGTTCATTCCGAAATTCCATGTACTTCCCGAGATATGGTGAAATCAATTCCAAAATTGACCTACTTTTTTTTCACATTTATTCACATGTATACAGACGGTGTTTGAACTGCAGATAACAGCTGCATAGTATTTGCACAATCTTAATTTCAACATCACTGTGTAGAAACGGACTAGGGTAAAGTGCATTACCCTAGTCCAAGATGGCGACAGGCAAATACGCTTCGATTATTTTGCACTTAGTTTACGCATTATACAGGCTTACATTATGTAATGGATGGTTTTATTAAAATTATTTGAAACAGAAGTACTTAGCTATTGCAAACATTTTGCATGATCTGTGCTGGTTAAAGCCAAATTACGGGTAGAAAATTTGACCAAGATTAGGGTAACGCAAATTTACGACTAGGGTAAAGATTTTGTGACCTATATTTGAGTGATTAGAGTAAAACATGTGTAAAATGTCATTTTGCTTGTTTCAGGGTTTAAAAAATTTTATTTCAGCAGATTCAAAACGCACTCTGCCAATAAATTCATAATTCATTAATTGCACCAGATACTATGTAACTGTAAAATTCTCAGTGCGCTGACAATTTCTGGAAGAGCACAGTGGACTAATTTTGTTCAAATCAGTTTAGGTTTCTGTTTATAAAACAAACTGAGTCTTGAAAACAGTGTTCTTTTGATTAAGATACGGCGAAAAACTTCAAATATCTACAGATCAATTAAAGTACATGTATCATCAAAGACGTGAAAAAAAACCCAAATAGAAATCATACCCAAAATCCAATTTAAACAATGCAAATTATGAGCTGAGCAAACATGGACCTCTGGAAAGTGAAAACAGAGGTGGGATAAGGTGCCATGGAGGAATAAACATACCCTGTCCACCGGTTAAACCTGTCGTGTACTCTTTGTTAACGTTATTATCAGGTACATGAAAAAATTGCCTAACAATTCATATATAAAAAAGTCAGTAAACATTCGACTTAACGATAGATTGTGTTAATTTTGCAAACAAGGTCATTGTATCAAACATGAAATTTGCGAAATGTCGACTTTAAACGAGATGCATGGTTGATATCTTGTGTCATCAACTAATGTATATAATCTCTCTCTCTCGTATTTAGATTTGCATATTATACAGAAAGTGTTATTTTACTAACTTTTACGCCTTATCTTAGATTGAGAAAAACGGGCAATATAAATTTTGCTGTTCCTATTAAGAAAACTTTGGTAAAGCACTTGTCCAAGTGTAAGCTAAATGCAGATTAACTTGGGCTTAGATTCAGAAAATTTGTGTTAGTTTTTACATAAAAATTGCAGGTTAAGTACTTAAGATATTATGAATTCAGAAGAAAACACCTTTGGTATTCAAGCATTCAATAAATTATTCTTAGAAAATCAGAACACTTAAGTTCAATCTTTCACCAAAGCATAGAAAGTCTTTCCGAACAAAAAGTGCGCTCTTTTGTAATGGAAGTGTTTAGTTCGACTACTATATTACACCATATTTGTCAAAATTATTTTGTAAATTTCATAGATACTGATAGAGCTATGTCCTAATTATAACACATTTGTCAATAAATCTATATGTTTCGTTTTGTTTACGGATTTATGAGATTTATCAATGTTTGATATCTTCACAATTTACATTATTGTCCCCGCTTTCACTGAAAGTGAAGGATATTAATTTGGGTTTGTCTGTCCGTCCGCCCGTCTGTATTTCTGTCTGTCTGTAACACTTTCGTTTCCGCGCGATATCTCGAGAACCCTTTGAGCTTTCGTAATGAAATTTTGCATAGTAACTCCCTATGGACTAAAGAAGGACCCTATTAATTTTGAAGTCGAAAGGTCAAAGGTCAAGGTCATAAATTCATAAATTCTGTCTGTTTTAACGCTTTCGTTTCCGCGCGATATCTCGCGAATTCTTTAAGCTTTTGCAATGAAATTTTAATTAAAAACTCCCTGTTGCTTAAGAAAGACCTCTATTGATTTTGAGGTCAAAAGGTCAAAGTTCAAGGTCGTAAATTCACAAATTCCGTCTGTATGTAACACTGTCGTTTCCGGGCGATATCTCTAAAAGCTTTTGAGCTTTTGCAAAGAAATTTTATACCATTACTCCCTATGGCATCTCTCGTCCCTCTCAAAGTGTCCCTCCCCGTTTTTTTTTTATTTATTGTATATTAAAAGTCGCTTGGCACTATTTTTAGCACAGGGGCATGTGGAGAATTATTACGTATAATACAGGTTTTCGGCCGACTTTATATTCAAATTACATCTATTAGAACTGTTTAGTAAAGGCTAAATTAGACAATATGTATTGTGTAAAATTTTGACAATATCGAACGTGAATGTAAACATTATATGTGACCTAATGTTTGCATTTAATCAGACTTAACTCAGTATGAGTTAAGTCATATTATGGAAATGAGTAGATCAACTTCTTGTTACATAGTCAAAGAAGCATAACTCTTACAATATTATCATTACTGACTTTTGACACTACCCTTTGAAATAATTTGCTGTGTAATCAAGTGCCTCCGTGGTCTAGGGGTATGATGCTTGCTTAGCAAGTGAGACGTCCGGGTTCGATCCCCAGACGATTCTCTTTTTTTTAATGTTTTTTTTTGTTTTTGGATTTACTAAATGATACTATTCAACATGTGAAATTAAAAAATTATGACCTCTGGCGTGTACAAACTCATAAATCATTATTACAGTGTGATAAACATTCTATATATTAAAAAGAATCTTCTATACACGTATTAAAGAATAAGCAATCAAATCTTTATATCCATATTGGCATTTTTTTTAAATTTGCTTCAATATACATGTATACATTTAATAATTCTACAAATCCAGAGGAGCAGTGTGACACCCCCCCCCCCCCGAACTGCGCATGCTCTTCTTTTTTCCCCTAAGCGGGGGACACAAATTCTCTGAATTAGCTTGTTTCAATAACCACAATTGTCATACAAAATATAATTACTCTTATTATGATCGTTATATTTTCCGTTTCATAGTAATGGCGTCCGATTTCTGTCGATTCTCGGGTAAAATTGGCTATAAAAATGTACGGATAACACTATCATCCTAGTGATCACCACCTAAACCCTTTTTGTATCCCAACTCATTCATTTGTATAGGGATTCTACGTTTCTGTCGGGGATTCTCCCGAAATCCCGGGATTCCTGAAAGTCCTAGCACCGACGTAGAACACATTTCGTCGATTGTTATTGCTATTTTTCCTTTGGTATCCCTAATGAAGGATCAGTTTATTAATATAAAATCAGAATCCCACAGAAAAAAAACATATATATAACATGGGGTTGTTTAAATGAAAACAAGGTGTTTACGGAGACAGCCGAGCGTCTGGTTCAACGAGACTACCCATTCGGCACACCATAGTCAGCCGAGGTGAGCCGAATGACATTACCAAGGCAATCGTTACTACTCGGCCATTTCCGTGAACGATAATTAACTTTATTTCTTTCTCCTAAAATGGCCGAGCAAAATTTTACGAATGTACCAAGCCCAAGGTTAGTAGGCCTAGCGTGTGTGACCTCTTGCAATATTCAATGATTCATTCGACAATCCTTTTTAATATTTATATTGCAGTTGTGCGTAGATGTTTTTACGACTTTAAAATAACTCGTTTTTTCTCGCAGATTGATTTGCAGGAGAGACGGCGTGCTACACCTACATTGATTTTTTCATTCTTCCTCTTCATTTCAGATTCTTAATGGTTGCTTTTAAAGAGATGTGTGATTTTTTACCATTGACATTTTCATCAAATATGGTGAGTATACAAAAATAAGTGAACATTTTCGCCCTAAATTTTGCTTTGAGGTAGGTGTAGTACATTACACACTAACAATTTGTAGTCAATTCGTAGCCCGACCGACTCGACACGTCAACAGGGATAGACATTAACTTTCAGATTTACTTGCCCTTCGGGCAAGTGATCTCAAACTTTGACTTGTCCGAATGCAAAACTTGGTTGCCCAAATTAGGAAAGAATTTAAGAAGAAAATAATTTATTACTGTAAACGTTATGATAAGAAAAAATGTTACTATATAAATACAATACTGTCAATTTGGCAAGTTGAGCTACCTGAAAAAATTGCGATGCTGCATTTGTACATAAATGTATACCACTGTACTTGTAAATTTAACATGTTAGCACACACTGACATGCAGCAATAACCCTCCGTTTCTTCTTAATAAAGTTCATTAAAAATTATTTTTGGTAGGATCCTTTTGTGAATCGTGATTTTCAGAGATAACCGTGAAGCAACGCTAAAGGAAGATAGTTGCTACGAAACATACATCTTATCTTGATCACGATACATCCTGTTACACTGTACTTATATTTTGTGCGTGAATAAATAATCTAATTTCCTAATAAGAAGTTAACAAAATTTTGTTAGACGTAGAGTGTATTTACTACGAAAGAAAATAACGAACCTGATTTTTAGATGAACGGTATATATACAGAAACACTAGCAAGGGATTCCGAATGCAAAAACATTGTCAGTCAGGTACGTTGCAGAAATAAAGTGTTCAATTTATGGTTTTATTTATAAATTAATGTAAACTAAATAAATATGTACATATGAATGAAAAAAAAAATCACTTGCCCTATCGGACAAGTACGTTGACAATTTCACTTGCCCGAACTGATGATTTACTTGTCCCGGGCAATCGGACAACCGTTAATGTCGATCCCTGGTCAACTTGGACACCAACGCAACAGGCCGAACCCAGTTGATCATTATTATTGAATTAGAGCAGGGACCTATAAATAAGAGAGAGCTTAAGCTGTACCTTAAGGAAAATTGAATCGTAAGGCCAACAAAAATAAAAATGATTTGTTTGATGTACTGCGATCAGAGACATATGTCTCTTCTCCGACCGACCCATTTGCCCCTACCCAATCTTTTTTTTTTTCAGTACTTCAAATTCTTTCTTTTTTTATAAATAGATTATCTGTATTGTTTTTTTATATAAAGTCTATTAGTTTTCTAAGATACTCTTTAGATTAAAAGATTTTATAGAAATAGATAATTTATGTAATTGTTTAGCTGTCAGGTGTCTATAATGAAAATTTCTAAGTCTGTGTTTTATAAGCGATTTTCAAAATATTAGAAAATATTTTTGAAAAAAAAGAAAAACTACATACCTACCTATCCACCGGAAAACTGGGGGTCGGAGTACCTCAAACACACAAATTTTAAATGATGGTCTAACCTGAAATTTTTCACCACCTTCCCCCAGGTACACAGTCGTAGTAAAGGTCTAAAAGAAAATATAGCTCTATATGAACAGAAAGTTCTCATTGAGCCATACAACTACTAATAAAATATCGCTGGGCCATTAAACTGCAGAAAACTAAATACATATTAAATACATACTCCTACTGCAGACTAATTTGGTAAATGTTTCCTTTCTAATTATGGCTCGGTAAATAATCCATAAGGAACATCAATGGCAAAGAAAGAAATTCTCTGAATTACAAGTATATGGTTGATGCTAGTAGATTTCTACATTATTGTGGGTATATACATGCATATTTTGGATCATTATTATAATATTTGCTTGTTTCTAATTTCAGGAAACTATAAAGGATGTGGATGGATGTTAACATCCAGAATTATACAAACCTCCTACACAGAATCTTTACATTGAATAGTGAATTTGCAAGAATTGCAACAATATTCAGTACAGATAATAATCCTTGTGTTCATCATTTATTAATTGTGTATCACCAAAGGGAAAATTGGCCCAATTCTGTGAATCATATTTTCCATTTTCTTTGCATCCAGAGAAAAAGATTTAACTTAGTGTTTATATATCGAAAACACAGAAGAAAAAGAAAAACTAGATATTATAGCTTTGCTAAAAGACACTCCAAGTGCATAATCAATATTATTGATAAGAGAGAGACTATACAACAAATTTTGGTTTTAATAAGGAATAGCAGTGATATCAAACTGAGATATACTCTTCAAATCAGAACAGCTCAACAAAAGAAATATTGCATATTTGAATACAAAGTCAGTTGACATAAGTTATATTAAAAACAAAATATGGAAAAATCTCTTACATCACTGGGAAGCTTATTGCTGACTTCAACAGAATTGCCGCATTTTGTTGATAAACTGCCAACTAAGTATGTGTGCCCTGTGTGTAATTTTGTGTTAAGGAACGCTATGCAGCTACAGTGTGGACATCAAATTTGTGAGCAGTGCATTGATCCATTGTTTGGAGAAAATGAAAAAGCAACGTGTCCTGTTAAAACTGACGAGGAGTGTGAGGAACCATTCTCAAAAAATGAGGTTAAAAATAATTATTATTGTGTTCCCCCCCCCCACTTTCCCCTTTACTGAAAGTTCAGGGAATATTGATTTGGGTCTATCTGTCATTCTGCTCTGCATAACACTTTCATTTCCAGATAATTTCTTGAAAAGCTCATAAATCCCTATGACTTAATGGAACCCCTTTTGATTTTAAGGTCCAAACAAAGCTCAAAGTCAGACATTCTTATTGCATAAAATGGTTTCCAGATAACAACTCGAGTTCTCTGAAAGATTTTGCAAGAAAATTTTATATTCTGACTACCTATAACTGAAAAAAAAGATTTTGAGGTCAAAAGGTGAAGTTCAGAAATTCATATATCAAAAAAATGGTTCCAGATGATAACTTTTCTCCTTGAGCTTGTATAATGAATTGCAACAATTTTTTTTTTTTAATAACTCCCTATATATTTTAAAGAAGACATCTTATGATTTTGAGGTCAAAGGCCAAGACCAGAAATTCATGTGTTGCATCAAGTAGTTTTCAGTCTCGGATGATTAGTTCTCTCAGGGCTTTTGCAATGAAACTTACGGTGCTGAATATAACTTAAGAAATACTCCTATTAAATTTGAGGTCAAAAGTTGAAAGGTCAATGTCAATCCTTCTTTTCTTTGTCCATCTGCATTTTTTATTTAGTTCTTATGCCCTCTTAGTTTGTCCTTAATTAAGCAGGTAACATAAATTCCTTGAATTAACTTGCTGTGCTGCAAGCTTTTTATTTTATGAAAAAAACTTGTATACATGAATTTCAGGTGTACAAAGATATGTGTACTCGACGAGAGATGATGTTGCTACCAGTGTTTTGTTTGTACAGTAATGAGGGTTGCCAAGAAATACTAAAGTGGAAGAACCTTCAGGTGAAGATTTGTGTTTTTTAAATTAAAATACATCTCTTACAACACTTAATCTGACACAGAGAATTTAAATGCTAATTAATATGAATGGATTAATAAGTATAATCTCAGATGCCTATTTGTGTAGAACTACATTGCAGCAGTAATACATTAAGAATTCAGGCATCAGTTTAATAAATTTTGATAAATGAAAGTAAATGCACATTATATTCCCCGACACACTGTCAAAGAATATTGGGCAGTGCTCAGGACCAAGTCATGTGTACAGAATCTAGTAAAAATTATGTTTAAATGTACTAGAGTGTTTACTAGGCATTGCAGCAATAAATTTCTTGAATAGAGCTAGTAATATACATGTATTAGTACTAACCAAAAGTTATAATAATTTGTCAATTGAATATTGTCCTATAAAATATTTGTAGACCCACACTGAAACATGTGAGTTTAAGCCTGTTGAATGTGATGACTGCCATGAAAAGATACCTCAGAATAAACTGCTGGCTCATAAGGAATCAGAATGCAACTATCGTCTTGTTGTGTGTGACCACTGCTCACAGAATGTACCCTTCTGCCAGATGCAGGTAAACACTTGTGAATGATTTCGTGTGTTTAAAACTTAAAACTATGGGTAGTTCATTATACACCCCGAATGAAAGAATGTATATTGGATATATACTGTAAATCACTTTTATTTGCAAGAGCTTTATTTCTGTGTTATTACGCGAGACTGTTTACTCGCATATAATTCTACTCTTAAAGATTACTAGATAGTGCAATAACCAAAATTTTATTTCATTTATAAATATCAAACAACAATCGCTTGAAAATAAAGTGTTACAAAAAATTTAATGATCTATGGTATATATATAGCAAAACAGAAATTTAGTTAACAAAGACCCAAAACCCAAATTGTTATTAGTTTTAATGTGCAATGATTTAGTAAAAATTTAAAGTTGCTAATTTTCCACATTTTAACGGCCCTGGCCCAAGTCCCAAAATTTGGTGTGAGAGCCCTGGATTTATTTTTAGCACATTACCAAATGAAAAAAAAAGTTAAAATATTTGCTTTTCAATTATTTTGACCACACAGAGTCATCTTGACCATGATTGTCTAGAGTATCCACTTAATTGTCCTAATGGCTGTGAGAATGTAACTCTAAGAAGAAACGAGGTACGCATATATTTATGAAGTTGACCTATAATAAAATTTCTAGTAAATGTTTGTGTTTTAAAAAGACTCTCAAGGCACTGAAATAAAGGTGTTATATATGTGTGGTGTATTTTGTAACAGATGGAAAATCACTTGCAGTCTTGTCCAAGGCAACCAATACCATGTGGATACAAAACTATAGGGTGTACATATGTTGTAAGTATTGCAAAATGCTCAGGAAGCTATACAGTGTACAAATATGTGTACCAAAGTTTGTGAATATTTTGCACTATGATCATAATGATTTGAAATGTTATAATTTTTGCAATGCTTGACTATTTTCCAGAATGTTGTAAAAGAGGTGGAGAAGCACCAAGCAACTGCCACAGATCACCATTTAATGTTGGTCATGTCATTTTCTGGACAAACAAGTGACCAAAATAAAGCAGTACAAGCTGAAATTGAGGTCAGTTTATTTAAAATTATTGACCTTCATAAAATTTTTAAATATTTTAAACCATTACTGTTCATCTTATTTAATTTTCCTGGGTTTGAAACATGATACATGTAATGATTATTCTAAATTTTATATTTTAGAAAAGCAAGAAAGAGGCGGAGGAACTAAAGTTAATTGTACAGGAATTAAGACAGGAAAATCAAAGATTAAAAGAAGAAATACAACCTTTAGTTAAATCCTTAACAAAAGATATGAAAAAGAAATTAGTGACATTAACAGAAAGATTAATAAACTTGGAAAGGATGTTCGAACATCAACCAAAGAAGGAGGTCCTGGAAAAACAGGAACAACTCATCAATTCATTGAGAGAGGACTTGAGGGTCAGCCAGGAGCAGATAACTCAGATAGAGAGGGCAGGGCCTTCAGGGGGAGGGTCTGAGGCCGGAATGCCTCAAGGTAAGGAATTTATACACTTACTGGGAAGGAAAGTGCTAAAATCTCTCAATTCTTTCATTTTTCTTGTGTTAACAAGTGGCTGGTAATGAAATTATACCAAACAGGGAATATACAGTCAAACCTGCATATGTCAACTTGTTTTATGTAAAGTACTGGTTATCAATGATCTGAAATCTATGACTTGAGTATCATTTGGGTAAAATTAACAATTCATGCTCTGTAAAAGTAATTAATTCAGGTTTAATTACATGAAGGGAAGTTAAATTATGGTCATTAGTTGAGTCATTGAGTTAGATGCTTAATGCAGGAACAGTAATTTATTATTATAGGAAATTTTTTATTCGGTAACACAAGAGCTGGGTTGCTTATACAGGATTCAGTCCAATTCACTTAAAACTGATAAAACACTTTAATTTTGCTTATAATTTATTAAAAATGTAAACTCGCAAACTATGAAATTTTTTTTCTCCAGAGGTAAGGAATCAACTGAAGAACAATGAAAAACAGATGGCTATCCAGGATATAAGGTTAGCAGAACTCGACCTGAGATTCCAGGTGTTAGAGACTGCCAGTTATGATGGCATTTTAATGTGGAAAATCAGAGATTATTCCAGAAGGAAGCAGGAAGCTAAGAGTGGAAGAACTCTATCCCTGTACAGCCAGCCATTTTACACAAGTCGCACAGGTTACAAGATGTGTGCTCGGGTGTACTTGAATGGAGACGGTATGGGTAAAGGGACTCATCTTTCACTGTTCTTCGTGGTGATGAGAGGGGAGTACGATGCCCTGCTTCCTTGGCCTTTCCAGCAGAAGGTCTCACTGATGCTTTTGGATCAGGACTCTTTCAGGAGACATGTTTGTGATACCTTCCAGCCAGACACCACAAGCACCAGCTTCAAGAGACCAACGACTGAGATGAATGTCGCCACAGGATGTCCTCTGTTTATCTCTCACAGTGTGTTAGAAACAAAGACGTACCTCAAAGACGACACAATATTCATTAAGGTCAAAGTTGACACCAACAACATACCTGTGCTATAGTATACACCACATCTTTGCTAGCCAAGGAGTTTGATCCACTCCTGTTTTCATAAATGTGAAGAGAAGGTGAACAATCACAACTCTTAGCTAGTGAAGATGGTATATATATATTATTATACTAATGCACAACAGTAAATGTTCATAAATTAGAGCTGCTTTGGCAGAGTACCAATTTAAGCCTTAGCAAACATTTTCTTATTAAGACAGCATGTTTTTATAAAGTTTGTAAAAACAATATTTATTATTTCTTCCTTAGCTTTTTTAGCCATAGAATAATGGCTTTTCTAAATAGTCAACCTCATACATGTATGCAAAATTAACCCTGTGTGTTTGTATCTTAATAATTAAGATTAGATCATTTTGTATTGTGGGGAACAGTATTCTTTTTGGATTCTATAAAATGATATCAATTTAAAATGTACATTAACATTTTACCCAGATATACATGTATGATGACTGTTTATCTGGACACAAAATTAACTACTCATTGTCTCTTCATTCCATAAACCTTCAGTGCATTGGAGGTCCGTTTGTTTAATTTAAGGTACTGTAAATATATGTATTTCATGTTATGGTTCAGTATATGCATTGATAAACAATAAAAACTTTGACTGTCAGAAATATATTTACAGTATGAGCAATATGCCATTGTTTTTAGATATCTAAAATATATTAACGGTTAGAAGCAATATGCCAGAGCTGATACTTGAACACAGTTGTGCTCACATGTACAACTATTAATAGATCTATTAGTAGATAGTTTTGAGTTTCATTAGATTTTTGAGTTTCATGAGATGAAAATAGAATTTATTTGTGGAAGATGGAAAACACTTGTACTTAAGGGTTTTAGTATATTTTTTGTGTGGTTTCCTGAAACATCCATTATGCTGTTCAAGTGAAGGTCACATGATTATATCAACCCAAAAAGACTCCTCAGTGAAATATGGTTAAAATCTATTTAGGGGACAACCATTTTATTCTGAAGGGGGGAGGGTCTGGCAGATTTGAAAATGAATTTAATCTGTCCTTAAAATGTTGAAAATAATCTGTCCTCAACTGGCAAGAAAAATATCTGTCCTTTACTAGTGCTATCCCCCCCCCCCCCCCCCACACACACACACTAAATAGAGATTTGGAGTTGGCATCTCTCTCTCTCTCTCTCCCTCTTGCTTTTCAAACTTTTTTCAGTGAAGGAGAAAATAAATAATCTGTCCTTGATTATCTTGAAAATAAATAATCTGTCCTTGACTTGTATGAAAATAAATAATCTGACTCGAAAATCCCCCCCCCCCCTTCAGAATCAAATGGTCGTCCACTCGTCGCCTTAGTAAACATGGAACGATTTTCTTTTTAATTGCATTTTTCTGGTACAGAGATATGTCGCACGGTTTCAGCTACTTCACTTAAAAAGTTAAAATTTAATTTTGAACTCGAAATAAGCCCCTGATTTCACCCCTGTACTGTAGAAAATATCACTTCCTGATTCTATTCCTCTTTCTTTGAATTATGTTTGGTCTTGGATAAGATAAATAGAATCATAAAGTCCTGTGGTTAGTTTGGTCATTATGAAGAATTACAAAAGGTCTTTCTGGTGAATACTTGTAAAGATTCTTACTATTTAAGTAAGAAATTAGGGATTGAAAGTGGGTGTTAACCCTTAAATTACGTGCACATCTGTCTCACGGACCATAACCATTATGGTTTCAAAGCTGTCTATAATCTACTTATAATTTTTCCTTGATGCTAAGAAGTGAGGAAAAGTAGAGCGTTTTGAGGTGAAAACCTATTTCTCATACGTTATTTCCTCGTTTCAAACTAATCCACCATACATAATAAGTTCCGTTTTAGTTTTTAAAAACTTTTTGCAGTACATCACTTAAGGACATACGCAATGCACTTTTGAGTTTCATTATTTTTTTTTTACTTATTCCCTGTATAATTTAAAATTTCAAATATAATTAAAGGACTTTGTGCAATCTTATGATGCCAGGTTATGCTGTACACCATCAGGAAGTACCAGCTAAAACTATATTTAAAAAAAAAGGGGGGAGGTCATCATCTCATATCTGTTCAAAACTCGTGGTAATGACCCTAAAACTAATGATGTCTAATTCGACCTTTGCCTTATCATTTGACCCCAAAATACATCAACATACATGCATGCATGCAAGAAATAAGACGGTTGCAACATAATCCAAATTATTGCAAATACAAATACAAATATTTAATGGCACAAACACAATTACAATAATTGGCAAAGGCCCATTGAACATCATTAGATAATGTTTACAAAATTTATGCAGTATTAAGTAATTGACTTCTATGTTTAAAACAGTCTCTTATAAATTTCACAGTAACTTTTAAGATTTTATGTATATCACTGTTTACATATAATTGTAACATGTATCTTTCATTGTCCAGATTAATATTTTTCTTTGTTATATTATAAACATTTCTAAGGTATGTGTTTCTTAGCTCAGATTAAGATTTACAGTGGAAAAGAAAATGAATTTCATCCTCAATCACACCAGTATTGCATAAAAATGTTCAATTGATTATCTCGATCTAAGACAATCTTTGAGCAAATAAAATCAGAAAAGTATACGCATGCACATATGTTCTCTTCTTACCATCTTCTACCTATGAATTCCATTACGAATTAAGTCTGGAAAGGTACTCAATGCAAGTGTTTACGAACTGGAATCAGATAGCTAGGCTTAAAGAATATTCTGATGTGGGGCCCCAAAATTATGACCATAGCAATCTGCCGTACATTTTGTGACTTGGTGTGTTCTTCACCTATATTTTACTTTATTAAACTATATAGACGGCATGCTCTTGTTATAAGGTGTTTGTTGTCTAAAGATTTTTTTTCTTAAATCAATGAAATTGAAATAAGTAATGTACATCAGTACATGTACTGGAAATATTACGAGGATTTATAAATAAATAAAGGGAAATCCGAAAATAAAAATAAGAACAGCTCATTATAGTTTTTTTTTTCTTTCGGAAATTCCCTTGGCCGTTTTTACTACACGTGTAGTACATTCAAGAAGAAACATAAATAAAGCTTATTTATGTTGTTTCATATTTTACATTACACAATAGTGCCATGCACGTATGATAAATCAAGCAGATTATATAAAAAATATTGAATTATCCCAGCAATTTTCGTGCATGCATGGGTGTATCTCAATCGTTGAAACTTTTGAAATGGAGTCTCTCTCTCTCTCCAAACATTCAGTTCAATGACTGTATTTTGCATTCCACACTGAATTCGATAGCCGTTATGAAAATTATACATACCATTTGATACTATAGTTGTTACCGTAGTGGGCCTAATTGATTTTTAAGGAATGGAGATTTGCGTTTTCCCCTTACACATCTCTCAAACATTGCATGTTTTTGATAATGATTCCAAAAAGCCTAAATAGCAACCGTTATAAATGATCGTATATATTTCCATGTCTGAATATACACATCCATCACTAAATACTTCATGCATGCTAATTCCAACTGTGCCTCCAGTCTTGGGTACCTAGACCAACATGACTTTCCCGCTTTTTCCCCTTTGCATCATCAACTGAAAAAATCAAACAAAAAATGGCATATACATATATTTTTACCTGCATTAAAATTACCAATTATTTTTTTATCGGACAATGATTACGAGCATGCATATACCCAAATCTAACAAAGCCGATTGAGAACTTCAGACAGACGGACAACTGGAAGTGTCGGGCACCACGTGTAGTACTGGCTGCGCGCCAAATTTAACTCGCGGAAATTGCACGTGGCCAAGAAGGGATTTAATTCTTGATTGCTAAGTGTGTTAAACTAGTATACATTATTTACCTTAAAAGTATTTTTTAAACCATAGATATTTTATAAAAATTACATATTCTGTGAGTGATATTGTGAGGTAACATTATACATTAAGATTTATTGACTGGGTTCTAGGGCAAAGCGCGTTGAACCCAAGTCCGTAGGAAGCAGTTTCAGTTAAGGGGGGGGGGGGGGGTTACAGCCAAACTTTTTCAGTTTTGGGGCACAACCACAATTTCAAAAATTCCTTGACAAGCATAAAAAAGGTCATCAGACGTTATTATTGAGTGGGCACAAGCATATAGTAGCTATATGTTTTCTATAGTATTCTATAAACCGGCAAAGTTATTAGAGGGCACGGACATGGATCCGTACTGTTTGCCTGAGGGTGTTAGGCCGAAGGCAAACAGTTTGGTTCGAGGGTTTGGCAAAACGCATTTTGCCCGAGAAAATATTTTGCGCTCGCTTCCGTTGTTGCGATACTTGATATTTTTGTCCACCGCTTTGACTGAAAGTGGGGGATATCAGTTTGGGTCTGTCAGTCCGTCCGTCTTTATTTCTGTCTGTCTGTTACACTTTCGTTTCCGCGCGATATCTCGAGAACCCTTTGAGCTTTCGCGATGAAATTTTGCACAGCAACTCCCCTATGGCTGAAGTAAAAAAGAAACCCTATTTATTTTGAGGTCGAAAGGTCAAAGGTCAAGGTCATAAAATCATAAATTCTGTCTGTTTTAACACGTTCGTTTCCGCGCAATATCTCGAGAATCCTTTGAGCTTTTGCAATGAAATTTTACATAGCAACTCCCTGTGGCCTAAGGAAGACCCCTATTTTGAGGTCAAAGTTCAAGTCGTAAATTCATACATTCCGTCGGTGTGTAACACTTTCGTTTCCGGGCGATATCTCAAGAAGCTTTTGAGCTTTTGCAATGAAATTTTATACCATAACTCCCTATGGCCTCTCTAATCCCTCTCAAAGTGTCCCGCCCCGTTTTTTAGCTCACCTCGACGAAGTCGAGATGAGCTTATGCTATACCCCCGGCGTTGGCGTCGGCGTCGGCGTTAGCGTCGGCGTCCCAGGTTAAAGTTTTAGGAGCAAGTCCCATTCCCAAGTAACTATAAACCCTACCTGGACCAAACTTGCATGGATGATGCATCTAGGGATGGACACTACCACACTTGCTTCGGATGCTGGATCTGACCTAGATTTTCCGGATGAGTGACCAGGTTAAAGTTTTAGGAGCAGGTCCATTCCCAAGTAACTATAAGCCCTACCTTGACCAAACTTGCATGGATGATGCATCTAGGGATGGACACTACCACACTTGCTTCGAATGCTGGATCTGACCTAGATTTTCTGGATGAGTGACCAGGTTAAAGTTTTAGGAGCAGGTCCATTCCCAAGTAACTATAAGCCCTACCTTGACCAAACTTGCATGGATGATGCATCTAGGGATGGACATGGCCACACTTACTTCGGATGCTGGATCTGACCTAGATTTTCTGGATGAGTGACCAGGTTAAAGTTTTAGGAGCAGGTCCATTCCCAAGTAACTATAAGCCCTACCTTGACCAAACTTGCATGGATGATGCATCTAGGGATGGACATGGCCACACTTACTTCGGATGCTGGATCTGACCTAGATTTTCTGGATGAGTGACCAGGTTAAAGTTTTAGGAGCAGGTCCATTCCCAAGTAACTAATAAGCCCTACCCGGACCAAACTTGCATGGATGATGCATCTAGGGATGGACATGGCCACACTTACTTCAGATGCTGGATCTGACCTAGATTTTCTGGATGAGTGACCAGGTTAAAG